TGTTCTGCCGAGTCATTTTCCTTTCTTTTTAGACCAGACTTGTAGCGTAGATAGATAAAACCAACCCATCAGATAAACACAACAAGCATGGATCCCATCGAGTACGATGGACGTGAGTGGTGTTAATACCTTCCCCTTACATAACCGACTCCTAAACCCAGACATGCTTGTGATGACCTTGTCTTATACCTTTTCGTCAGGTTTTTCCAATCGTTTCCTTTCCCTTTCTGTGGGATAAATAACGAAAGGTGGCGACTCTTCTGTTTTGCCGGCACCTTATTTTCGTGGTAGCGACAACGACCCTCACGCTAAAGGCGTGGAAATGCGGTTCGGCAGAGTCGCCACCGAACTTTATTTATCCCAAATACTCAGCCTTTGATGTAGAGTTGAAGGAACCGCCCCGACTCCATGGATCCACTCTCGTCCTAATAAAAGGTTAAAATTTTCCTTTGAGTTTATAACCATGAAGAGTGTCGACCTGGTAGTGGTTTCCACTGCTAAGTCCACTTGGACTACTCCTAGAATATTGCTGGTTTTCCCTTCGTAGTTGGATAAAACCATGTTGTGTTGCTTAAGATCAGCTTCAGTTTTCCCGATCCTCCTAAATGATGCATGGGGCATTAAATTGACTGTTGCCCCTTCATCCACGAATACCTTATTCATTGCCACACCATCGACCTTTGCCTTTATAAATAATGGCTTCAAATGATACATCATCCCTGGGTTGGGTCTTTCAAACATAGCAGTTCGCTCTTCTACTACACCATTGTTCATCACATAATAAGACATCGGCTTATCTTCTGCAGCTTCGTCCAGCAGAAAATCATCTTCCGCCTCTAAGACCTCTGATACCCTATCGTACTCCTTTGGCAGTATTGACATGATTCCACAATTTACCACGAAGTCCTCACCGTAGGTGTCGTCATTTGTCTCATCATACATGTCTTCATCAAAATCATCTTCTAGAGATTGAGTATTTTCCTCGTCTGATTAAGGCGAATACTCCGATTCGTCCTCATCCGACTGGGGGTATATTCTGGCTCCTTCTTGCTTTCCGCTCCAGAAGTATACTTCGAATTCTGGGTCGACACCACCACCTTTTCGCCAGATCCTCCAATGGTGACTGTTGTGGTTTGGTTTGTCATGATCTTCTCTTTTTCGACCCATCTGGTCTTCTAAGGTTTCCTTTTCAGCCCGGGATTCCCGACAGGCCGTAGCTGCGAAGTCGACGCTTCCCTGGAAGCCTTTTTGTTCCGTTGATGGCGCCTCCACTGGGTTCTTATCATCGGGTTCTTACCCTTGTAGTTGGGGGACACCACATATCCCTTAGGCTCAACATTCTTGTTGGAGGCTTTTACCTCTCTTTCTAGATCCAACACTCTCCACTTTGGCCTCTGGCTCCCTTTTTGGGTCACGGGTGCCATCCACTTATCCTGTGGAGTATCCGACGGGGGCACAAAGGTCTTGGGCCTTACCTGTTGGAACAATTTCCTGTAATTCTCGACCGAGGAGCCCAATTTCTGTCAAACACGAACCTTGGGACCGACGACGTGTTGACTTGTGGCATCACCTTCCTGCCCGACTCAAATTTTTCTGCTGCTTTCTCGTCGAACACGGCATTGCATCTGGGACATAGGGCGGATTTAGAGCCGCTGATCCTGCATTTTTCCTGAAACTCAGTTAAAATTTCTCCAACTTGAGGGAAGATTCCCTCACAATCCTTCTCCACTTTTCTGTCGAGGCCCTTAGTAGCCTCGATCATCATGCATCCGAATGTTGGGGTTGTCACCTGTTCTTTAGGGTCCTCAGTAGCCTCGATCATCAGACACTCTGCTACTTCAGCATACAATGTCTCTTCCATCTTCAGAGGATTCGTGTCCACTTGCATTTTCAGTCTTTCACCGAACTGAAGTCGTTCTTCTTTCAAAGCTTTTTGCACCAAATCCCTGAAAATAACACATTGAGATGTTTTATGACCAAGGAAATTATGAAACTTACAAAATCCCCTCTTTTTCTTTTGTTCTAGAAGGAGATCTTTTATTCCAACAGGGACGACAATTTGACCATCTTTGACTAGCATCTCAATATCTCATCACTTGGATACATCAAAAGAGTATGTTTTCACGACGTATTTGTCTGACTTTTCCGTGTCGACCTGGTTTTTCTCGTTCGACGGCTTTAGGAATTTGCACGTGTATGGGGGTCCTGGCTTTAGTTCGGTCACATTGACAGCATTCTCTTTGATGATTTCTTCGTCATCAGAGGAATATCCTTCGGCGACCACAAATGCGACTTTTTCTTTCTTACGATATCTATTAGCCTGAGAATTTTCACTCCTTAAACATTCAACTTGTCGGACGTGGTTGGCCAGATGTGCCATATCCCTAAGATATTATGTGTCTAGCTTTTTCGTAATAGAATAATTTAAACTGCCTGCGGCCATTTCGACCAATTCGTGTTCATGGACTTGTGTAAAGCATCACGCTTTAAATAGTCTGAACCTGTTGAGATACTGGTCTACGGGCTCCGCTGCCTTTCGCTTGACGCTGGCTAGCTCTTTCAAACTAATCTTTGATTGCCCCATGTAAAACTGCTCGTGAAACAATCTTTCTAGCTGTGTCCACATATGGGCAGACTGTGGGGGCAGCCGGGTGAATCACGTGAATGCATTCTTTGTTAGGGAACTAGGGAAACATTTCATTTTTAGGTCTTCGTTATTCGCTATGTCCCCAGCCTCGGTTTGATACCTGATGACATGTTCGACGATGGATTCTTCCGTCTCTCCCGCGAATTTGGTGAATTTTGGCACCTTCCATCCCCTTGGTAACTCAGTTTGCAGAACAAAATCTGGTAGTGGGGACGTGTAGATGGGTCGTTGAAGACTTGGATTTGCCCCGTTATGAACCATAATGCGTTCCACCATGGTCTTCAAATTAGCTTCACCCCCTAGAGCCTCATTCCTAACTTGCCTGACCACATAGTCTGGGTCTTGGTTCCTGTGAACCATCACAATAGAAGGCCTTTGGGCCACCCTAGGTATGTGTTCGTACTCAGGGGCCTGTAGGTCGTTTGTCTCTTCGACAGTGTCGTTCTGTCGGACAGGCATATCAGGATGATTGGGAGGTGTTTGTCTCCCTGGAGCCCTAGGGGCCCCTAAGGAGTCTCTTATTCGCGTCATCTGAGTTGCCAATTGTTGGTAACTCTGAGTCAAATATTGTTACAATGGTCTTAGGATGGTGCCCATTTGTTGAGTCAGTAGATGTACCATCTCGTGATTGCTTTCGTCCATCTATTGTCGCATAACAGCGACAAAAATGGTGGTGAAAGTTGGTACTGCGGGGGAAAATGAACCGAACCCTGGAGGCCTCACCCCTTGATTGGTCAAAGGTCCTAGGCTCCGATATGGCGAAAATGCTGATGAAGAACTCTCTCCCTCCCGTGACTGGCCCACTATAGTGTAGCGTCGACATGAAATCTGTCAACATTCCCAAGTGCTGGGGTGCCGTCATGGTGAAATTGGGCAAGTATTACCCTCCGACTCCTGGCGTTGTCGGCCTTACTTCAAGTCGACGCGGAGTCGTGAGTGGTCCGCTATTAGCGATCGAAGCCACTGATGTGGAATCAGTGTTCACGTTCACGACCGTTATCGGTGATACCATCTTACCACTGCGCAAACGCATATACCCAGACCTTCGGGTCCCACTGGGCGTGCCAATTTGTTCGCACGTGTTTTTCGCGCGGACAACCTCTGACCTCCCGACGCGGGTTTACTTGCGAAATCAGCCAAACTAGTTCCAAGACACTTGGTTCTGGGTGTGTGAATTTGTGGTAGACTTGGTGGTTATTTGGACGTGTGTATGATGAAGTTAAGTAAATATGAAGATGCTTCTACTCAAATAAAAATGAAGAAAAAGGAAATGACATGAAAGTAAAGGCGTCGCTTTCGTAACATAAAAAGACTTGTTAAATTTAATTCAAACTGGTAAATAGAAGTGGACGTGCTCGTACATTTTGTAAGGAATGAAAAACTCTTTTCTCTTAATGTGCGGTACTCAGAGTATTTTTCTTACAATGTTGTCCAAAAAACCCGCCCCTTTTCTCTTGGAGCCAGGCTTTGCTTTATATAGATAAGTAAAATATCTGTCATGTTGTTTTTGGTGTCGCCATGTGTCTGGCCACTACTTTTGTAACTTCCCCATGTTCTCCTTTTTTCAAATCCATTCCCCGCCAAGCGAAACCCCTTCGCCAGCTGCCCCATTCGTCGACCTGGTCGACCGTCATATGTCTAAGTCGACCCATACGTCTTCTCCTGCACTGTCGACTCATAACACCTTTCCTTCTTCCTCTACTTTCCTGTCGACCTCGGCCTTTTCACCTGTCGATACTTTGAGTTGGCTTTTTCAGCCAACAAGGGCAAGTCTTGCCGAGGAGGAGTGTTGGTCCAGGGGTAAACCGGTCAACCTCACCCTGTTGGAGGGATAGAAAGGCAAATGCCTTCCCCCACTTAGCCGAACTTAGGTGATTGAGCCGTTTTATGAGCAGAAGTGGATTGGACCATACCTAGCCATTGAGGCAGTCCGAATCATATTTAATTAATTAATTAAAAAAAACTTTTAGCGAATTTTTTTGATGAAGACACTATAAAATTATATAATAGTATAGATAGATAATACTTGCTATGTTTGTTGAGAATATTAATAAAGTAGCTTCTAAAGATAAATTTATTTATTAAATTAGGAAAATTTTACACTTATTTATATAAAAATATTTTAGTTAAAAATATATAATATAAGATAAAAGAATAAATGATGAGATATGAAATAAAATTTTCTAGCTCACATATTTAATGAAAAAACAAATTGGGACACAAGAGTTTGTATTTTTTTAAATAAGTAATCAAAGAAAAAGCAACATTTAATTCAGTTCGACCCTAAAGACTAAATGCACCAAAACACACCGAAAATAGTAAAAGACTAATATTAAGTCTGCATAAAGTTGAATCAAATCTTTTCCGCAACAATGTCTTGAAGCTTGTTGCAGAAATCATCAATATAAGATGATTCAAGATCTTTATTAAGCAAAATCTCTCTGATCTTAGCATGATTAGCTCTCACTTTCTTACTCATTTCACTCTCATCATCCATCACAATGCTCACAGCTTTACAAACACTATCCTTTGTATACAATCCATCTTCACCTTTCTCAACTTCCACACCAACTTTCAAGTTATTTCCCATCATCCTAGCATTCAATATCTGATCACCAACGTTTGGCAACAAAACCAATTGACATTTATTCACCAATGCCTCAGACAAAGAACCTGAACCACAATGTGTAATGAAACACCCCACAGAAGGATGTTCCAAAATCAGTTGCTGTTGAATCCAACCACCATAAACAACACCTCTTCCTTTTGTTCTTTCTGCAAACCCTTCTGGCAACGCTTCTTCAACTGTTGCAAAACCAAAAGGTGGTTTCAAAGCTGCAAAAAATGGCATGCCAGTTAACTCAAGACCGAGCATTAATTCTTGAAAGAGGTTTGGTCTTAAAACACATTCACTTCCAAAACAACAATAAACAACTGAATCTGTTTTGAATCCACCAAGCCAAGTAGACCAATTTTCATCCAAAACAGAATTTGGTTTTTCAAGTATAACAGGTCCTGAAGTAAGAACCGGTTTGTTAAACTGTTTTTGTATGTAATCAAGATAAGGTCCTTCAATTTCTCTGCATGTTCTGAATCCCAATGCATCAGCTTCATTCAAAGCAATGGCTTGCCGGTCATAGAAAAGAACATTCTTACCGAAGAATTCTTTCCTTTTAGCAGCAAAGATTTTAGCCTCATGATTATAAAGCTTGATTGATGATTCAGGGTAACCGGAGGGAGGTTCCATGAGATCAAATTCTGTTAAATCTGTTCCCTTTAAATATCTAGCTGGTGTTAGAGTGTAACCAACCATTACTGAACTAATTGTGCAATAGTGAACAGCTTTGATGCCTAAACGCTTAGTTAAAGATGGCATCCAATGTGTAAAGTCATAGAAAACAAGGTGAGGTTTGAGATTAGTGAGATGAGTGTCGATGTCGGGTTGTGTTAGATCCATGGCGGTCACGATGTGTGTTTGTAAAGGATATGGAACATCAGCAGTTGTTTCTGCATTGGGAGGAAGACCTTCAACACGGGGAACTTTGATAGTGACAAAAGTGATAGATTGAGGGTGGAGATTGAATGGTTCTAATTTAGATTGTGCTGTTTTAGGTGTGAAAAAAGTGATAGTGTGACCTTTTTTTGCTAACTTGTTAGCTAGGTGAAGGAATGCAGTTTGGTGGCCCATGGCAAACCATGGATACATTGCTATGTGTAAACAAGATGATGAATCCATAGTGATAGCAGTGGAAAAGTGATGTTGCTGGTGAAAGAGGTTCGTTTGTTTTGTCAACTTATAGAAAAACATGCAAAGTAATGATAATGACTCCAAGTTTGAAAAATAAATATAGATTGATATTTTTTTAAAAATCTTCCATAAAATAAACTTATTAAATTCACTACAAACATTTAATATAGATGTATTTTAATTGAGTTAGATTTTTTTAATTCTATAATTATGTGTTAAAATAATATATTTTAATTGAATAACTGTGTAAAATAATTTTATACTTCAATAATCTCAAATTTAAATATTTTAAAAATTATTTATGGTTTCTTTAATTTACATGACAATTTAGTTTTTACACAATTTGTTTTATACACGTATACCTAATCAATGAATATTGATTCTCCATTGGTATCCTCAATTTGTTAGGTCAACTACATTTATTATCGGATGATGAGTTTGTGGTTCTCTTATCATCTGGTACTATTTGTACTACTGATTATATAATGGTATTTACTCTTCAATATTTTCAAGTTTTCAACTACTTTTTTTTTCTTTCGGTATATCATTTTCAAACACTCTATTGAGTAAAACAGAAAATCAATTATATTTTCATCCCTGTTTAAGTATAAATATCAATTATATTTTTATTCTTATTATTAAATTTTTTCATGGCAAAAGTTAAAGTTACTTCAGTAACTATATATACAATAAAAAAGGACCCTACTAATCTTATAAATTTTTTTTTATACTATCAACTAATTACAATTATCTATTATATTAAATTATATTAAAAAATTTAAATTAATTATATAATATAATAGAATAATATATTTTTATTAAATAGCAGTATAAATTCTTCTTCACTGTCATTACAATACTATTAAACCAATATACAATATATATTAAATATGTCTATAATTAATATTAACTTTTTATATTTTAAAATATTTAATGTCCATATCTAATAAATGCAAACGTGGTTGGTACAATATGTGGAACAAAACACGAACGCGTGGTCTATCTCGCACCTCCACATGTTTTGACATTCTGAAACAAAAATTTTGAGCGAGAGACGAGAGGAAATTTTACTCCATACCCCTACAGTTATATTTATATCCCTACACAAAAAAATTTTGGACCAAAATACCCTTGTATAAAAAGTTATAATTTTTTGGTTTGTTTACCGGAAGACTTTTTGGAAGTCTTCCGGTTCACATTTTTTTAGTTTATTTACAGGAAGACTTTTTGAAAGTCTTCCGGTTTACATTTTTTTTTATTTGTTTACCGGAAGACTTTTTGGAAGTCTTTCGATTCACATTTTTTGGTTTGTTTACTGGAAGACTTTTTGGAAGTCTTCCGGTTCATATTTTTTTTTTATTTTTTTAATTTTTTATTTTTTTTAATATTCAAATTACAAATATATTTATTCTATTTACTCTATTTTAGTTAATTAATATATTTATTCTATTTCCTCTATTTATTCTATTTATTTATTTAATAATACTTATTCCACTAATTTAATTTTTTATTAATTTACTATATTTATTTACTTAATAATAATTACTCCACTAATTTGGTATTGTTTTTTTTAATCAATAAAAATAAAAACGGTTAACTAATTTATATATTGATTGTGTTCTTTAAAGAAGAAAATTAACAATTTAATAATATGTTTATATGAAAAATAAAAATAAATATCATATTTAAATTATAATCCTATCATTTCTTCTATCAAAAAATTTCACCAAAAAATTATAATATATAACATTTATAATTATTTAAACAATATTTTATGGGGTAAAATATTAACTTTTAAAAATATATTTTATGGGGTAAAATATACTTTTAAAAATTTTCATCATAAAATATTAACTTTTAAAATTTGTAGGGGTAAAATATTTTATGGGGTAAAATATTAACATTTAAAATATTAAAAACTAATTAAATCATAAATATTTAGCAGAAGAGTGATGAAAACATGCTTTAGCAGAAGAGTGTGGTGAAATCATCCAAATGAAGCTTCCACCCAAAATCACTAATAAGGTAGATTCACTATTCCTTATGTTATTGGTTCGCTAAATATTAGCATTTCTCTGTGTGATTTAGGAGGTAGCATCAATCTGATGTCATTGTCCATGAAGAGGAAGTTAAAATATGGTGAGTAGAAACCTACTCAAATGATTCTAACACTGGCGGATAGATCAATCACATGCCCATATGGAATTCTTGAAGATGTCTCGGTAAGAGTAGATGTTCTATCATTTTAAGTCGACTTTGTGATTCTAGATATGCCTGAGAATTTTGAGACACCACAATTACTCGGAAGGAAATGTTTATGATTTAATTAGTTTTTAATATTTTAAAAGTTAATATTTTATCCCATAAAATATTTTACCCCTACAAATTTTAAAAGTTAATATTTTATGGTGAAAATTTTTAAAAGTATATTTTACCCCATAAAATATATTTTTAAAAGTTAATATTTTACCCCATAAAATATTGTTTAAATAATTATAAATGTTATATATTATAATTTTTTGGTGAAAATTTTTGATAGAAGAAATGAAAGGATTATAATTTAAATATGATATTTATTTTTATTTTGCATATAAACATATTATTAAATTGTTAATTTTCTTCTTTAAAGAACACAATCAATATATAAATTAGTTAACAACTTTTATTTTTATTGATTAAAAAAAAATACCAAATTAGTGGAGTAATTATTATTAAGTAAATAAATATAATAAATTAATAAAAAAATCAAATTAGTGAAATAATTATTATTAAATAAATAAATAGAATAAATAGAGTAAATAGAATAAATATATTAATTAACTAAAATAGAGTAAATAGAATAAATATATTTGTAATTTGAATATTAAAAAAAATTAAAAATTAAAAATTAAAAAAAATAAGCATGAACCGGAAGACTTCCAAAAAATCTTCCGGTAAACAAGCCAAAAAAATGTGAACCGGAAGACTTCCAAAAAGTCTTTCGGTAAACAAATCAAAAAAAATGTAAACCGGAAGACTTCCAAAAAATCTTCCGGTAAACAAACCAAAAAAATGTGAACCTGAAGACTTCCAAAAAGTCTTCCGGTAAACAAACCAAAAAATTATAACTTTTTATACGAGGATATTTTGGTCCAAAAAATTTTAGTGTAGGGGTATGAGTATAATTGTAAGGGTATGGGGTCAAATTTCCTATTGATTACTTTTATAAGGAATGATTTAATTGGTATTTTATATAAATTAAAAAATAATAATGAATAAAAGAGAGGATAATATTTTTATTAAAATATTTTTATAATATATTAGAAATGATTAAAGTAATATTATCTCCGCTTATAATGAGTGATTTATTTATTCTTAGAATAAAAGAATGTATCAAAATAAATGATTAATTTTAATTTTTAATATATCTTTTTTAAATATATCTTTTAATTAATATTATTTTCATCTTTTCTAATATATAATAAGGGTACTTTAAAAAAAATATCATTTTTTTCTTTGAATTATACTTTTTTTTTAATCTATATGAAATAATCAACCGAATTTCTCCAGTTCGGCGAAAAGAATGCACAGGCGGTCCAGGGGAATCTTTAGCAGATCGAGCAGTGAACTTTTTCTTTTGTTTAGACCTCTGGCCTGCGCGCCACGTTTTTTATAATCTTACTTTTGTTGGGCTTGGCCCCATTGTAATGTAATATGCACAATCACGACCCTTGTGGCCGCTTTTATGTTAATATGTATTTCCTTGTATGTTTATACTTTGACTAATTTTTTTGTAAGTGTCATACGCTGCCCAATGCTGGTCGTATGAGATACCTTAGTGGTTGATTGTTATGTTTCAGATATGCTTGACAAATAATGTTCGACAGTGCGGGGAACTGGTCGAAAGACCTGGTAGTTTTCGGACAGAGGAGCAAAGCTCAGGTCGTGTTTGTGGTCTGAATTCGTGGCATGAACTTCCCATCACGAGCTGGGTGTTCTGTCTTTCATGATACTTTTGCGGCGACGGACTCGGTCGAGGAACTGCCGTCGGGCATGAGTTTTGCCTCTTTTGGCTAAAACCCTACTTAGATTTGCGTTGGTGGCGCAACGCTCGTACCTGGACGCGCGTCTATGGTCGGTACGTTAAGCTCGTCGCATGGGCGAGACATGCCGACAGTAAAGGCCTTAGCTGTAATATTGTTTCAACTTTTGGATGTTCCATGGTCGAGCTAGTTCTTCCCCAGTAAGGTGTTCTAGGTCGTGGAAGTATTTCCTGGATGACATATTTGTTTCCCCCTTTCTTTTTCGTGCTTGCTAGTTTTGACAAGATGTCTGCCCGGATGTTGTGTTCGTGTGGAATGTGTTTTGTAACAGCCCAATTTTTCAATAATTAATTATTCATGTTAATTATTGGTTTATTTGGATGATTTTAATTATTGGAATTATTGGTAGATATTTGAAAGGAGAATATATGGAAGGAAATAGAATGGAAAGACTTATAAAGGAAAAGTGGAAAGAAAAGAGATAGAAAGGAAACATAAGAGAAAGAATAGAGAAAGAGGAGAAAAGAGAAGGAGAAGAAGGAAAAGTTGGAAAAGCTCAAGAACAACTCTCAAGCATCGATTTAATCGAGGTAAGGGTGTGAAATGTTGTTATTATGTTAATGTATATGATTATGTATGCTTGGGTTAGATTGTTGGATGTTTTTCTACAACTTCCATTTTAGGGCAAAGTGGATTTAATCGATAGAAACCGAGTTTTAACCGTCGAAAATGAGAATAAGTCGTATAATTTAGTCGAGGGAGGTTAAACTAAGGCTATGGAACTGGTTTGGTGAGAATCAGTCAGTTTTGTGAAGAGTTGAGGACTTGATGACAGTGAGGAATTCTGAGTTCGTAGACGTTCGCTAGCACCTTCACTAGGCGAACAGGTCGCGAGCGTTCGCTAGCAGCTCTCTAGGCAAACAAGTTAGCGAGAGGTCTCAGACTTGGATAGAATGTATTTGATCT